GCCTTTTTGTTTCGCCTGCTCTCTTAATAAGCAAGCGAAAACTTTTGAAGTGCGCGAAATATGCGCAAATGGCACGCGAGGGGCAGGAAAAAGGGGGTGGGCATCTTTGGGGGTGGTGGGGCAGAGCTATGTGGGGCAACAGCTGATGCTGCCACAACCACTTTTTTGACTGGCGCTGCAACACCGCCCAGTTCTGCGCCCGAACAATGAATAGGAAATTAATGTAGGTCGAAATGGCAGCGAATGCTCTTGAAATAGATTAATTAGATAATTGGGTTGGAAAACTCAAAGCAAAGACTGAGCACAGAAATGGGTGGTGAAAGTGGCAGAAAGAGTCCTTCAAGGATTTTCGAAATTGTTGCGCTGCCATGGACATGATGAATGGAAAACCCACTACAAAGCTGCAGACCAACTTTTCTTTCCATTGGAAGATAACGCACAAAACTGCTAAATTAAATATGGTTACAAGATTTTTTTAACAGAGGTTCAAATACATATTTTATTTCTTTTTCTTTACTTTTTAACTACTTTTAGTTCAGTTTAGTTTAGTTTTTGTCCTAGTTCATATCTTGTTCTAGCATTGTTATTATTTATCTTTTCCAGAACCATACATACATCAACACCTCAAAGGACCAATTGTAGGGCACATTCTCGCACATCCTCCAAGATGCATGGTTTCCAGTTGAATTCCTCTGCCGTTTGCTTAGATACTCCGGCCATAATCCTTTGCCAAAAAAATCACCAGTGTTCATTTATGTGGCGTCTTCTCTCCAGTTTGCATAAACTACAGCAGCAATGCCCCGAGCATATTTCAACTGCAAATCCTTTTAAAACGGCTCCGTGATACTGGGCCCTTTGTTTAGCTGCAGGATGCAGGAGTTGCAGCAGGATAACGAGGGGAGTTTTGGGAGTGGTAAGCGTGGAGAAAAGGCCTCTATATTTGTTTTCTTTCCTGTTGTTGTTGAGCAGAAAACGAAAATATGCAGCTCGGCACAAAAATGTGCACTTGTTTGTTTTGTTTGTCAACAGAATCCTGTTGGCAGTCCTTTTTGTGGTCCTGCGGCCTGATGTCTGCAATGCCTGCATATGTTGTCAGCGCTAATCAAGCGCACATATGATAAACAGACTCACACACATTCAAACGCAGACGGAGTCTCAGAAATACAGTGAAAGAAATGAATTAATTAAGTCGATTTGAACAAAGTAATTTTTTTAACCAAATATTTATATTTCACGCAAAGTAAAACGAATTATTAAAAAAGATAATTTTAAAAATTTCTCATTACGAATTGGCTGTAGCTTTAAAATTGGAGATGGAACCAACTTAAAATCTGTATACAATTTTCCCTTAATTATCGCCTTGTTTCAAAACTATCACAGTTTTTCCAAGTGCACACACCACATATCAGGACATGCAACACTACAAAAATAACAGCAAGAAGAACAACAACTGCAGCAGGACTTATGCAATTGTATTTGTTTACCCGGACGGCTTAACACTGAGTTCTCCTGCTTCTTCTCCTCTTTCTCCGGCATTGTTTGCATTTCTTTCACTTCTTTCCTTTATATATATCCTTTGTGACGGGTCCTTTGGCAGCGCGCAAAGTTTCTGCGCAATTTCACAGGCATTTACCATATGCAACGACAGCAACAACAGCGGCGGCCCAAAGGTACAAAGGTGCTTTATGCCTTTTGATTGATTTATGTTAATCTTGGGCAATTATGCCGGACACGCAGCCGATTGCTATGGCAGGGGTTGAGGGTGGGAGGGGTATGTGGGTTGCAAAGGACCTTTCTCCTTCGACAGGAGATGCTAATTGCATCTGGCCATTAAATGCGTAATTTGCCATTGATGGCATGCGGACACGGCGAATGGAAAATCACTTTTGCATGTTATGTGTGGCCTGCTTTGGGATATGAATCGATTTGAATAATGAAAGGGAACTGGGATCTGGTTGTTTATTCACCGGCTGTTGCATAATCAGCATCTGAATGAAATTATTTACGGAAGAATGGATTGTTTACTTGGAGAACATTATGCTGACCTGATAGTGTGTCATCTTAATTAAGTATTTATCTTGTATTTATAAAGGAATTATCCAAATAAAGAAACAGTTATGTGTTTTTTAAATATATTTTAAATAAAAAAGGTTTTGAACAACCATACATAATTTCTTAATTGGTCACATTAAAATATATATGGCTCTATTATTATCTAAATGGATTTTAGCATATGATTAGCATTATGGTTCTAAAAAGTTTGAGGTTTCTGGCTTCATATGAAGCACATATCCATGTAATGTCAAAAGAACTGCATTAAAATCTTTCTTTTTCAGATTCTTAGGAAAAACGCAAGGAGAAAAGTTCCTTAGCGCCGCTGTTACTACTGTGAAAAAGCATCCTTTTGCGGGGTTTTCGACGTCTAAACTACTAACTAAAGTAACATTTTATTATGTCACTATGTCACACACCCACACGGGCACCAACACCAGTGCAGAGGCACAAATACACGTACGGAGCTGACATGTTGACATGTTAAAGAGCATGTAAGTGAAGTGTGATGGAAGCTGGAAGATAAGATGAAAGCGGAGCGAGTCATGCACAAAGCATAGAGCATATAGCCCGAACCCAGAGATATAGTCCACATCCTTCCTGCCTTTCGTCTTGGAGCCACGCCCCCCGTCGCCTCCGCCCCCAGCCGTCTTGTCTGTTTTATGGTTTACTTTTAGTTAGTTAGTAAAAAGAATACAAGTTTTTGCTCCTTTTTTCAGGCTCTCACGTCAGCCGAGGTATTTTTATGATGGAATTTTTAATGAATTTACTTTTAGTTGGGTGTCACGCAGCATCTGCATGCGCTTGCATGTGTGTCCTTCCCTTTTGATGGCAGAAAATATAGAATTTTCTAAGGATTCATATTAAAATCTCGCCTGTCTGTGGGCTTTTCATCCTTCGCTGCACACAATCGAAAGAGGTGTAAACTTGTTTATCAAAACTCTACCTTTGTTGGGAAAGTCGTTTGGGGTTGGTTTTCCATCTGAGCAGATTGAATGCGACAAGTCAAGTGATGTGAATTTAATTTGCATTGCCATCAAAATTGGATTACAAACGAAGAAATGCGAACAATTGTTATTGAAAGCTCTGGGAGGAATTTGAACAAATCAAATTGTGTGATCACATTTTTTGTGGTATTTATAAAGGAATATAATTGAATTATTTCGAGCGACTTCGAAGTTTAGTTTGTCTTGTTGCGTGAATAAATAAAATAAGTGTAAGCAAACATTTCTAATGGCGAACATGGTTTATTTTTTTAAGATTCATAATCTTGCTTTGTCTATTTTATGTTTTTGTTTGTAAAAAAAACAAGAAAACAAATATTTTTGTTTGTAAATATATTCAAATAAAAAATAATCTTCCTTTTTTTATTCTTATTTTAAGACCTCTTATAATGTGGTTTAGAATATGCCTAAGACCAAAACAATCTTATAGTTCTTGCCTTTGCAACTGCACTTAGGCTTCCGAAGTTTATCCTAACTCCCCCAACTATCTCAACTATCCCCACAAACACGCATTGATTAAAATCGTGGCAGTTAAAACTTATGCTCAAGTTCAAAATTAGTCGAAAGCTAATTAACGATAAGCTCGGCTTGCTAAAGTGCAGTGCCGAAGTTTTCGGCGGCTCGGAAAAGTTTTTAATGCATTTATCGAGTGACTTTGGTCTCGAGCTAAGTGCTTATTATCGGGCATCTATTTCAATTTCCCCCGGCAATTACAGGGCAGCCGAAACTACGTGTAGTTGTCTGGGAATTACGTACTTTTCAGCCGCCTAACCCCTGACATTTCGAGTTGCGGCAAACACCCACAACCGTGTGACCTTTCACCCAGGGCAGTTCAAAGGCAACTGCCATCGACTGCTCATTTTCATTTTGCTTCTCTGCCAGGGAAATGGGAAAATCCACTCACCAGAGAGGGATAAAAACAGAGAGAGAGAGGGCGAGTGAGTGCGCATGAACTGAGAAGAAAAGTGCGAGAAAATTTCCCTCTTGAGTTCGACTCTCGCAGAGAAAAACCGGTTTCGAGTGGGTTTTCTAAAGATATTGGAGTGAGTTCGGGAGCAGTGCATTTGTTCCACTTTCTGAGCAGGATATTTTTGGCACGTTTTTGTGTCGTCGGAGCCTTTTGTGCATTGAGTTTTTGCCACTGCCGGCTTATGGTCAACATGAGCAGAAATGAAGCGTGCTGTGGGTCGAATCCCCTTCCTTTTATTTCGGCTTTTTTCTTGCCTTTTTGCCTCGAAAGCAACAGAATCTGGCAGCAGGAAGCATTGCGGTATCCTGACGCTCGAGGGACCCATAATGGTCGAGATTTTGAGTTCTAGTTACAGTTTTTGCTCTCGGCCATTTAAAGAGTCCAACTAGGTTAGTTTAAAATGGCTAAAAGCTGGGGGAGCGAAATGTGTGCGAGCCGTCATATAATTTGCATAAATTCTTCATGCCCCAACAAAACTTTCCGCGTACCATAATTCTTCGTTTGATTTGGCGCAAACTTCGAGCTCAAGCTTATCAAATGCCATATAGCCCCTTTTCGCCTTTCATTAAAATCAGCAGAGACTGAAACTTTCCCACAAAGCAATTTGCTGGAAAAACACAAGACCGAAAAGCGTTGGAAAAACTTTAAACAACGAACGTGACCGAGGTGAAGTTTTCCCTTCTTAGCAGCGGTTTTTTTCTACTACTACGACTGTATGTATAGTTTTTGGTCAAACTGGGTCAGCTGGCGAGCTTGAAAAGGGAAAAGGACGCCAAACATTTAAAAACATAAAAGACATGCCAGAAATTGCATGCTTCTTTAACCAAGGACTTGACTTGATTTCTTGAGTGCCTCGCCCACGACTCACTCGAGAGCGAGTGACTCGGCGCGGCGAGTGAAACGAAATTTCCCCCTGGCACAAGGGATTCTCAGCGACCCGATGTAGGCATTATACTCCGCCACCGAGCAGTCAGTCAACTTACAGCCGCTCCAGCGAACGGACGCACCGAAAACCGAGCGATTGAAACTCTGTAAAAACCCGAAATCGAACCCATGACTTATATATAGAGCCGTACGATTTGTTTACGTGTCGTGACGCGCGAGTGCCATCAGTTGTGTGCGTGTGCCAGACCCAAACAAAAGATAGAAAAAGTTTCTGAAAAATCAAAGAATCACCATGATTAGCACCACGGATTATCCATCGGTGGAGACCACCACCTCCGCAGGCGAGGAGCTGTATGCGGAGTACATATCCGCACCGGCCAGCAGCATGAGTCCCGCTGCGATTGCCGAACACCTGCAGCAGAATCAGATCACCTTCGAGATACCCAGTGCCCACGATCTGCGGCACATCGATGCCCTCAACTCCTTCAACGCGCTGCTCCAGCGGATTGGCAATGCGGCCGTGTCCTACGATCCCGCTCCGCCCAGCGGTTGGTCCCCCGATGGCAGCATCAGCACCGAGCAGCTCTCCAAATCGGTTGTCCTGGATCTCGCCGACCTTCGCGACAGATCGGAGGAGGCGGCGGAGGCCTCCTGGTGGAACCAGATCTTCGGGGATGCCGACATGCACGTGATCATCAACTATCTGTGGATCGGAGTGGTCAGCTCCTTGGTGGTCCTGTCCCTAGTCTTCATCCTCTTCAGCTGCTACTTCTACAGAAAGTTCCGCACTTGGAAAAAATGCAGTAAGTCTCAGCCGTATAATCCCCCGTATAATCTGCCTGCCCGCCCCCAAATGCCCATACATCTGGCTTTTATGTCCCGACTTTAATCAAAATGTTTCGCCAAAGCCTTATCTCCGGCCATTTATTCAGCTGGCTAAACAATATAAAATGCAGAAACAGAAACAGGTCCCATGTTCCACCCATCAGTTTCGGGGGACTCCATAGAGCTCTATGGCCGCAAAGCCTCATAAATTTTTTGGCGCGCTTCGAAATTGTCAGCCAGCCGTTTGCATCGTTCTGTTGTAATTTTAGATACACAAGTTTATTATGCCACAAAATATATGTGCCGCATATTTATAATATTAAATTGACTCGCCTCCGCCCCGAGGCATTGTGCCCCTTTTATGATAGCGATAATGTACGGCCTGGAGAATAGGCCGACCTCGTCGACCCCTCTCACGAAAAGTGAAATTGTTGCCCCGAAATTTGTTGCTCGCCGCAGGCGAAAGGCGTGAAATTGTGCGTTGATATTTATATATATTTTTTTGTGGGCCGAGGCGATAAAGAGTAATATAATAAAACACTGATGGACCATATCACTCGGCAGGAAATCTGGTAGAACATTTGCTTAGGCCCGACATACAGTTGTAATAATTTTAGTAAAATTCCACTGATAAATATTGCCAAGGGATTACTCGCTTCTACTGACATCTCCCACATTTTTAGTATAGCGCTAGCTGTTCCATATTAAATCCAAAATCAATCAAGTTTGACACGACTGTTATCAAAATCCCACCTAAACCCCAGATTACCGCCACTCAACCCAATTCGGTGCAAATAGAGCCCATGTAAATATATATCTTATCTGCTCGAAACCTGTTGCACCTCTCAACGAGGCGAAACTGCTCCGAATTCCAAAAATAAATCATATGTTTAGGCACTTTACACATAATTACGGAAGACCACAACAAAGAACCCAACTCATCTGAACCGAATAGAACTGAACCTTACCAAACGAAACGGAATTGAACGGAGGGGCAGGCTAAACAACCTACACAACTAACAAGTCTCCGGCTCAAGTGTCAAACTTTTTGCAGACCAATTTAGCCAAATGATTTATTTAGGCCAGGCAGCCAGTGAAGGACTGGGCCGAGCAAACTTTAGTCCTGTGTTCCTGGGAGCACACAACTTCTTGGGCCAAAGGGCCGTGGCCTTAAAGCCTGGCCAACTCAACTGTCAAACTGTCAATTTTGTGCTAACGAGCCTTAAAAACTTTTCCCTGCGATTACGACACGCGACCAAGAAGGGTGGATCCGGATCCTATTCCAGAAGCAAGAACACCATACCAACTAAATGTATACGTGAAATATCAATTTGAGCGATATGTGTTGCCTGCTTTCGGGCGTCCAATGCGTCTAATTAGTTTCGTTAGTGTCGTGTTCTGTTTTTTTTTGGTCTTACGCTCCCTCCTGTGCGGATCTGGCCTAGATAGATACCAAGTGGTCGCTGGGATAGGCACAGGTTGCCCGGGATACTGGGAAACTGGGATACCGGGAGTACGTGTGTCATTTATAATTAAGCAACTAGGCCCGAGTTCACTCCGGCTTTTGTGCATTTAATGCCAGCTACGTGGCGTCTCGCAGTGTTTACCTTATAAATGGTTAACGAGGCCCAAACACAAGAGTGTCTGGCCCAGTTGCCAGCCAGGCTTACGTCTTATTTATTAAACTGTCACACACACGGGCAATGGCAAACTTTCGGTCCTGGCTTTGGCTTGTTATCAATTAGTGCAGCGTACGACTGAATTTATTAACCGACCGGATGGAGTTCCTAAATTAAAGCCAAGCTGAAGCAGCAGCCACTGTTTATCATGTTGTATAGGTCCTGCATAATTCAGTTGCGTAAAAATGTAATTAAGCGTAGCATATTTGGCCAAGACCAGAAAAAGTTGCTCTTAGCTGGCAGCCCTTTTAAATTTTTAATGGCTTTCGCAGCGAGAGTGGTGGAGAAAAACTAGAAGCTGCTCTCTTTTTTGGCTGTGGAAAATATTTTAGTTGCTCTTGTTTTTTCGTTGTGGCAAACTCAAATTGAGTGTTGTAATTAACCAAATTGTTTTGTAGCCGGCCAGCGTTTAGTGGTGCGGGAAAGACATGCATAATAGAGCTGGCAAAAGCAAAACTTTTAATGGCTGAGACTGCAACTCTTGCATTAAAAACATGGAAAAGCAAAAATCGAATCGCCATTTCAATGGCTGGCTTAATAACACTCGAAAGCAGCTTAAATCCGGTGATAATAATTTTTAAATAAAAACTCTACTCAGTCCGAACGAAGCCAGAAAAGTTCTGGCGTTTAAAAAATTAACAGACATTTATGGCAACACAAAATAAAGCAGCTCAGTGTTTTCCATTTGCCAGTTTTCATTCGAGAGTGCCAGCTTATTGCGATGAATTTAAATTGTTGCATACATTTGGGCGCATCGACAGCAAAAATGGGGGAAAAAGACAGGCTACAAATGCGAAAAAATAGGAAGGCAAAGTGCCAATGCAGCTGAAAACAAAAGGCACCAACGAATGGCGTGCTAATTTTTTTTTCCCAGCTACACAGAGAGCAAAATATTAATTGACTATCCAAATTTTTAAGCATTAGCAAATTACTATTATGTAAAATCAAAGAAATACTTAAAATTATAGTTTTAAAATGTCCTTGGTTTCCATAAAGGTCCCACTTTGGCGATTAACTGGATTTTTGTTTCTCTGCGTGCAGTTGCCACCTTTCCCCGGTTTTCCGACTTTCTTTGCGTCCATCTGCAATGCTTGAAAAGGCTGAGAGGCTGAGGGGTTACAATTTTCCAGGGGCGGCTGTTTGCTCAACACTTGCATAAAATATGAAGCCTGCAGCCTGTGTATGAGTGGGCCACGCCCCCTGGTCCAACGCCCTGTTTGCCGGCTGTCTATCAAACAGAGAGTAAGAGAAAAAAACGGAAACAAAAGTCAAAAAAAAGGAGGAACACAGAGACAGAGTCCTCATGTGGGGTGTCCTGGCCGAAAAAAAGGATATATATGTGCTACAGTTACAACAATAAATCAACAACTGCTGGCAGCCACTGTAACTGCTGACTGGTTCTGCTACCGCTGCGTTTTAATATTGTAATGCGCAAATTTTTCAACAGGCTTTACCCCCTACCGCAAATGCAGACCACCTTTCCGGCCCGGGATGCGCTTTAATTGAAAAAACCATTTTTGGGGGGTCCAGAGAATTTATGAAAAGTAAAGCCCGAACAATTAAAAAATTGCCGAGTTTTTCCAGCCGGCCATCGAAATTAAATGGCACAAAAAACGATGCCGGGGACGATCCCCTATTTATTTATTGAATGCAGTTTAAATTGCATTTAATAACACTGAATACCTGCCTCTTTTTTTTGATTCAGCATATGCAAAGGGGAAATTCTATTTGAGGCAAATTATTGCTTCATCCATTTTTAATCATGGTTGTAACTCAAAATACAACCAAATTAAATTCTTTGATGGCCGCAGCTTAGAGTGCGTGTGCAGGGAAATTGGAATTTTCCAATCTTAATTTAACTCTGCTTAATTTGAAACACACCCATACATCCCACACACACATGGACGGCAGCTGCGGCATTATAAAAATTAAATGCTTTCTGCTGCCTACTTTCCGGGGCTGTCGAGCTTTTATTTCATTGCAGTTGGCAGTCGACGAGTTTGTGTGTGTGCGAGAGAGTATTTTATTTCATTCCATTTTGCCACGCGCACACTTCCGGCATATTATTGCCTAGTTGCTGTTGTTGTTCGGCTGGCCGTCAGTCTGCTGTGAAGGAACTTCGCCTGTCCTGCCATCCTCGCCGGCATTTCCGGTCAGCACAAAACTTTCCGCTTCCCTCTTTTTTTTCGCCCACTTTTTGCGATTTTTTTTGTTCTCGTTTTTGCCTCTGCATTCGGAAAAGTTCAAGCGTTTGCGCCTTTACGCTAAATTGAATTTAATGCCACGGGCCCGTCCTTCTACAAATGTCCTTTGACATGGACAAACAAAGTAATGACAGAGTCAAAACTTTGATGCCTGATTGGGAAGCGCCCACTCCAATATTCCTACACTTAAAGAAAGAGGGTTCTATAATAGGAAATATAATGATTTATTAGGTTTGCTGTTTCTGCATTTTAAAATAGTTCAAATTCACATCGTTTTTTTTATAATCTCTGAAATAATAGAAATATTTGTTTTAAAAGTCCCCCATTTTTCTTCCTGTGCACCCAAACAATAGAAACTTTCTGCTGACAAACTCAACTAACAAACTCCGTTCTCTGTTTATTGCAGATAAGGACATACGTGCCCAGATCCATGCGGCCAGCGACTCGTACTCCTCGCACCTGGTGGGCTGCGATGCCAGCCGACTGCTGCTGCACCAGCAGTTGCAGGGGCAGCATCCTCACCATCATCGGAGCAACGAGGCTGGCTTCTACCAAATCGAATCGCCGCCCTGCTACACAATCGCCACCGGATTGCCCAGCTACGATGAGGCACTGCATCATCAGCCCCGGCACTTTGCCTACGGCATGAAGTTCGTCTATCCCTCGCTGGCTGCCGTGCATCATCATCACCATTGCGTTTCCAACTGGGAGAAGGACGAGCTGAATAAGCTGCAAAAGTGCAAGCTGTCAGCGGCAGTGGAGGAGGAGGATAAAGCCGAAGCCGAAGCCTCATCCCCATCCTCCTCGGAATCGTGCAACTTGGCCGCAGCAACGCCTGCCATTTGCATTAACATGCCAAATGGGCGGCAGCAGGATGGGGAGCTGGAGGAGGAGGACAATGCCGCAGTTGCAGTTGCAGTTCCAATGGCAGTGGCAGAAAGTTTACAGCCGGCGGCGGCTGCCGACGATGATTGCGCCTCATTGGTCGTTGTTGTTGCCGCGTGATTGCCCAGCCAGGGGTCAGGGGTTAATGTGGGGCAGGGGCTGGGGATCGGGGGTTAAGGGTTAGGGCCGGGGCCGGGAGTAGCAGCCCAATTGCTTAGTCACTTGTAAATAGTTGCATCGTCTGCTAATGTTGTTTGCCCCCCTGTAATAACATATATCTCCGATTGTGTCCCCTTCCCCCCTCACTGTAAAGCAAATTTAGTTTCGTTTTTAGTTATCTGTTATATTATTGTATTATGCAAGACTGAGTATTATTTATTGTACTATGTATAAAACCGAATTGTCTATCGATTAAGCCCTAATATCTAAGTGAGAGTGAAGAAAAAATATAAAACTCGAATGAACACACCCATTGCAAACAAAATTACAATTTTCGTTTTCATTTTCTTATCAGTTTTGTTCCTCGATTTTCAGTCCCATTGTTGACCTTGTTGGCAGTGCACGAATCCGAATCCGCATCCGAGTCCCAATCCCTCAGATACTCGTACTTTGGCCAGAGCAAATATCAGAAGCCATTTGGGGTTTCGGATTTGGTTTTGTTTTGAAATTATGTACGTGACTTGGATGCGGCTGGTCGAGATTAGGTCAGCAGAAATGCACTGAGGATGGAGAATTCCCCAGGAACGTGCATTGCTGAAAGGATTTTTCAGCGTCCCTTTTAAGTGTTACTTGAGGATTTGGCAAAGTAAGGGATTAGCTCTAAAGAGTTTAAAGGGAAAATTAATCTGATTACAAAAACATACGATAAATCAGAGGCAAGGGATGTTCTGATACCCAAATGCAATTTGAACTCACTGAGAGATGGAGCTTGAATTACTGCAATTACTACCTATCCGGAACTTTTTAAAACCTATCCTTTAAACTATTTAAGATCTCGCTTCAATTCAAAAGTGATCAAACATGTTGTTCAACAAATTGTGATTACAAGCATTCATTATTTAATTTCCTTTCCAAAGAATCCGCTTCAATTACCAATATAAATCCACCCATTAGCAAAGACATCATTGATCAATAACTAACACACACAGACAGTTTCTTAATGTTGCAGTTACTACGATTAAATAGAAACATTAATTAGAGTAAAAGCTAAAGCTCACAAAAAACCAAACATAAATATTGTCTACTATGGGAAGGAGAAAAGGAGGAAATTAAATATGCAAAAATATATATGAAAAGATATTACCAAACCAAAAAAAAAAAACAGAGTCTTTAAATTTGATTTGCAAGTCTGGGATTTCAGCTCCTCAGGCGATGAACTTATTTGGGAGCACGACGCACTCAAAGACCCAACAGCCAACAAAGCAGCACTAAAAACACGAGTTAAAGTTTCGTGCGAGCATAAATAATTTCATGTCAAATTTGACACTTTTGCTGAAGCTTCTGCGTCTTTAATGCCGCAATTTGTATTCAAATGTACGATTTGTTGATGAGTCCGAGTCCAAACTGGAGAGGCAGAAGAGTCGGACGGATATGGACGGAGGCACTGGCATGGCACATCAAACATTCCATAACGCAGCGGAGAAGTGAGCGAGGAGCTGCAAACACCAAACAGGGCCATAAATTATATTATCGTGCATCGTGTATCTGGTTCAGGTCGCAGTCATGAGTGACTGTGGCTCAAAACTGGGCAAAAGCACGGGGGATTCGGAATGGGAATGGGAATGCCAACGGGATTGGGTTCGAGGAACGGGGAATGGAGAGTGGGGAATGGGGATTTGGGACTGAGCACTGAGGACTGGCACTGACATCAACACCAGCAGCTACGGCACATCTACAGAACTTGTGGCTCTGTCCCTCTCTCTGTGTGTCGTGGTCGTGCTTTGCGTTCTTGCCATGATTTGCCGAAATGCACAAAAAACCCAGTCCAAGACAAAAAGAATAAAGCCCTGGGAAGAAGTACCGAACACGATATGCTCTAGTCGAAAGGTAAAGGAATATATTTCAGAATTTATAAAAAAACCAGCCAGCTAAAAATTGGATGAAAAGGTAAAAAAACCTACAAAAACGAAAAAAAAAAACTAAATAAAAAAAAAATAAAAATATGAAAAAAAAATTTTAATTCGATATAAAATAATTAAACTACTCAATGTGAAAATCTTATCACACCTCATAAAATTTATAGCCTGTTACGAACTGTAGCCCCTTTATAAAGAGAAATAAAAAATGCTACAAATATTAATAAAATATTTCTTGAGAAGAACAAACCACCAGGTATACCCTGTTTGGCCAAACGACTCCCAAAAGCTGCCCTGACCCCAAAAAGGTGAGAGAGCACATAGAAGCTCCATCAGACAAAAGTAGGCGGAGTGCCTGCCCAACAGATAAGCGATATGCGGTCGGCATTCATACATGCGAGTAAATGTGTTGTATGCGATGAGTTACTACTGTACGGTGGGAGTATCTGAGTTCTGGTACGGTACGTTTTTATGGTGACTGCACGTGTGTTGGCCGTAATTTGTTAAACGGTTTTTCTGATTTTTTCCTTCGGCAGAGTTCATTGAACAGGTTGTTTTGGCTTGACTTTTCGGTCGACTCTTGTTTACCCCATTTTGTGGGCGGCCCATAAATCTCGGAGACATTAATTTGTTTGTCACCTGTCGCACATGCGGTTGAATAAGATGTGTTGCCCTCTTAAATGAGTGCAATTAAATGCCTAATGACTCTGATGACAATCGGCAAATCGGATTAAATTTATAGGGGAAAATAATTCATATATTGTCTAAGGCTTTAAGAGCTTATATCAATATGCTCGCACTGCCATTCATTACAAGTTTCTCATAGTCTGGAAGGTTTATTGGATAAGGCTCTCTTGTAATTAAAGGTTCTACCGGACGATCCTTAGGCTTCGTAATCTGCTTTTTCGACATTCTTCTCATCTCATCTTCGCTCAGTTCTTCCCACACGGGCACTTTTTCGGAAATAAAATTAGGCTTCCTTGCTGAAAATTGTTGTCCCTGCATTTCGTCGCCCTGCAAGTTGAATCCACTCCCTGTAATTTCATTTTGTTGGGGATTTGCAATGATTTTTTCTTCAGAACGAGTAAATAGTTCCAGGTTATCACTTTGAATATTGCTTTGCGAATCATAACCTAATAAATAAGGGTTTTCAAAACGATTACCGATTGGTGTTGCCTTGGGAACTACATATATATTTGGGGAGCCTCTAGACGTGAAAATTTCGTTTCTTGGATCCATTGTAGGATTATCATTTGGTTGGTAGTCTGCCAAGGGAAAGTCGAAAGTTGGATTATCAAGGCCAGCTGTCGATTTTCCTTTAGCATCACCATCCTTCATGATTGGTTCAATATCCCAGTTGGGGGTTTGATATGGGTTATCAATGGACTCTTTAGAACGATCTTTTGCATGGTCATCTAAACGAACATCAAAGGACAGTTCCTTGTCAACTTCCTTCACCCTCGGTCCAATGTCCTCTTTATGTGGTTGATATTCTTTATTATATGACTCTCCAGAACGGTCTTTTGTCTTTTCGCCAAAGCGATCATCAAATGGCAATTCCTTATCAGTACCTTGTGTAATAAATTCAGGATCCCAATCATCAGGATTTCGATGGGCGTGGTATATATCATTTTGTTCTGGACCTTTAGTTCGTGACCTCCCTCTAGTTCTAAATCCATTTTTCGGTCTTTGGTTGTAAACTGACCAATCTTTAGTTGAATACCTATTATTAGGTTCTTCATCATGTTTCCGATTTCCATATTCTCTGCGATTTCCATCTTTTCCTCGACTACTTGCAATTTCATCATATTCATCATCAAAAGATCTAGTAAACCAATCTTCTTGATTCCAGTTTGCTTTAGTGGATGGATCTATATAAAAGCAAATAAAAGTTTACCATAAAGTGTATTTAATAAATTTTCCTTACCATATTGCGTCATCCTGTAATAGCTATTGTCAAGATTTTTAGCTCCATTAGCGGTATCATTTAAAGTAAGGTAATAATCATATGGGGTAGATGTTTCTATCCAGGAATCAGGCGTAATGAGTCTGAACGAAATTTGCCAGTAGAATGTCAGCCAGAAAATTATGAGAAAGTCGTGGAACAGAATTAGAGATCCCAGGAAAAAGTCATTCAGACGCATTTCAGCGAATCGATTTCCATTGATAGTTTGCGCATGATACATCACAAACTAGGGCAAATATTTAAATTAAATACTCATAAAATGAAAGAAAAACTCACCACTAGAATCGTTATAGTTACAGCTAATTCCACCACTAAATAGGAATAGGGAGATGTTCTCCAGACAAGCAGTTCGAATAAAAGCACAAAGCTGGCGACGATCAGAAAAATGAATGCGATTATAAATAGAATCGCAATATCTAGGGTGAGATCCATCTAAAATATATGTATTTTTAAGATATGAAAGGACTATTTTATGTTTTTACTTTTGCTGGTAGAAATACTCCTATAAGCAGGAATATCGCTACTAATATGACAGCCACTGCGAAAAAGGTAAGAACATCCGCCCACCAACTGACAGCAACTAGAGCAAATGTCGATATGATCTGAAGTTCCACCTGATGAGAGGTAAAAATATATTTGCAAAATAGTCTAACAATTTACTTTCTGATACTCACAATAATCAGTGCCATGATAAAATTAAGACCTTTCAGAAAACGCAGCTTCTCAACAAATATGAATATAACGAATATCAAGATGGCCAGTGCGAAGGTCACTAAACAGATGTAGTATAACAACCGGAAAGTTGTCCTTGCATCTTCTCTAATGGTATATGTATTTGATTTAAGGGATTAAAGTTTTACATTTTCAGCTTACACTAAAGCGATTACTATCCATTGGATGACAGCCAAAATTAGCCACAGGAACAATAGACCATAGGTCTTGAAAGAAAACTTTCTTCGCGCCTTTCGATAAAAACGATGCTCATCTGATACATACATCGTAACTCATGGACCTACTGTGTCTGAAGTCGGTATCTTTGACTGATAATTTGGCCTGAACCATCAATTGCTATAAAGAAAAAATCTAAATCTTCAGGTTTTATATATTATGGAGAACAATTTTAAAGGGAGCCTCAAAACTAACGTGATCAGTAAAAAATGTTTTAAATCTATTACCAAATTTTTTACCATTCAATTTTTTACTACCCAACTATATTGAGGGTAATTAAGACTTAATGTCAATACTAATGTGCAGTTTTTAAAGATAAGAAATTATTAACCTACCTCTTTATATTTTTGATAATCAAAAGTTTTGCCAACTACGATCTATTCCTTTCAAATATTTTGGATTGCCCATTGATCGTCCCCCCATTCATAGCTTGTTTCATTGCTAACAGACCAATCCTCCTCATCTGGTTTCACATCTGTAATGTTAAACTTAGAACATATTTGCTTGATAAATTTAACAACTTCCTTACCATAGTCATCATAATCCTGGTGTGCAACGGTTGTTCCATGTGATCCACGGGTACTCGTCGACATCCAAAAGAAATCATTGGATGTGAAATAGTTATAGTTTATCTGCCAGTAGAAAGTCAGGGCGTATATGACCAGAAATTCGTGATACAGAAATAAAGCGGCCAGGATAAAGTCGTCCAAGCTCATCTGAACATGCCGATCTCCGTTGATGGTTTGAGCATGCAGCATGCACATCTTAGAACACATTATTAAAAATACAAAAAATTATGATGCGAAAAAGGCTCACCGATAACATAACCGCGGTTAGAAAAATCTCGAAAAAAAGATAGGCATAGTTCTTAATGTCTGGCATAAAAAGATGAGACAACAGAAAATACGCAGAGGCTATGACCAAAATAAAGCTCAGGATAAAAAGCGGAGCTATGAACAGAGTCAAATCCATCTGGTAACAGTTCAAGATTAATTATGATTATATTAAAAATTCGGCATGATTTTACCGAATAGGTAAGATGACATCCGACGACCAGGACTACGATTATTATTAGCAAGCAGATAAAGTAGAAGGCCACCAGATCTGGGATCCAAGTTCGAGCAGCAAGCACGTACATCGAAAATATTTCCAGTTGCACCTTACGGATATATTCTTCATATAAATAGTAAAAATATTTTAATATTATCCAATTAACTCACTATCAGACAAGTCACAATCCATTTGTAAATCCTGTGATTGCGCATATTTTGATTAAAAGCAAACATTGTGAACAGTATGCCACCTAGAGCAAAGGTGGTCGAGCAATATATATCAAATTCACGAAATATCTTGCGACTGCTTTCACTGTGAAAAATATAGATTTTTTTTAGAACAAATATTTTTTTTTACCAAGTACCCACATCAAGGAGACTATCATCCATTGACCTAAAGCTATTGCTATAAAGGCTGTAAAGGTGGCGTAAGTTCGGCGCCCAAACCTTCTCCACTTGCGTCGAGTGTCCATATCTCACAGTATTATATTTCGAAGTCTCAAAATAAATTCAAACACTGGGAATTTAACGATTTAATGTTTTTCAAAATATAATGAAAATAGCATTGGAATTTTTATAATATATTCGTGATGGATTACTGAGAGCTTACTTTTATATATTATTTAAATTAAAATCGTAATCTTGTTCTATATTATTTTAAAATACAATTTGTTGGCTAAGTTCCCCAAATCTTAGAAGCTACTTTTAAAATTGCCTTTAAAGGGTATTTGGGTTTTTTTAAGGAACAAAATCCAACTATTTTTAAGCAAAACTGTGCATTTCAGTGGTTGTATTTGTTCTGTCATTCTGTCAATTATAACATAGTATTCCCAAAATTTCAGCAATTTCTGTCAACCTCGGGCGGTTCAATTTGTTTAGATGCAAGGGAGCAGCCTTTGAGTATCTCAAAGATACAGTTTGCCCTATCATTGTGTCAACTAACTTGCTCCGTTCACACACAGCTGCGACCTGGCCCCGATACAAATGCTGTAGCTACAGTAAACACACGGTGGGGCGGCCAAGCGGCTAACGCGTAAAATCAACAAAAATTAACGGGGGCAAACAAGGCGAGCACGGAGCCAAGGTTGAGAAATTTGTGCTCAGCTCGATGCAGCAAACAAATTTGCACTTGTTAGTTTGACTCTGGGTTTTTTCTGTGTTTTTTTGGTGCTGCCAGCGGAGAAAATAGCGCAGAATATGCCAAAGCGACTGTCAACGGCAAGTGTTAAAAATGCCAGATAAATAATGCTAGAGCAGCCAGACAAGAGCCACAATGGCAAACAGACTCACTAATGAGCTGACTGCACTGTAAACTCAACTTTACTGCTGCCTGCCTGACTGACATTCTGACAGATTCGGCTGAGGCGTGTGCGTCACTGGCCAAATACAAAAAGGCAGATGTAATTTGCATACTAAGCCCTGCCGCGTCACACGGTGCGTATGAGCAATGAGGAATAAAAATCATTTAGCGACACATTTGGCATATCAAAGCGGTCTTAATGGCGTGTGGCATTCCCAATCAGCAGCCGTGTGCGTTTTGTGAACTCCCCGAAAAAGCGACTTGAGAAGCAGCTAACTGTCGCCGGGAAGCTCAACTATCTGACTGGCATGCAAAATTAATTACGGCCAGAAATTTATTTACGACGACGACGACGACGAGGAAGGAGCTGCTTCTTCCACGCGCGCTGCGGCAGCCATAAAAGTTTTACGCTTTAGCCGAATTTAGGAGCCAGAAAACAGGGACCAGAAAACCAGGACCAGAAACAAGACTGCAGCTTAGATACATTCTCCTTTTGCCGTCGCCATAAAATCCAGGCGCTGATGACATTTCGCCAGCTGCATTGCAGTGGATGTGGACGCGGCTGTGGACGTGGATGCGGATGTGGATGTGTCACCGCTTCGGTGGTTACTCCAGCTACTGCAGCTAGTGGGGATTTTACGAGCTTTGCAACACTGGTTAACGGCTGGGAAAGGGGGTCCCTGAAAAGGGTGTGCCGAAAATCACACCACTTAAGTGCGCGTAATGAAATTTTAAGCAGCATTCGCTTCTGTTTATGATTTCAGCTGTAAAATGCATGCATTCGCCGGAGCCTCTAATTCAATTTGGTTTGGCAAGTGCATTGCAAAAATTATTGCCAACGGGGTTGAACAATTTCTATGACATTTTTCAACTGTATTTACAATGTACAAAATTTTATTTTATTTTATATGCTGCAGCTACCTCTACAATATTTATATTTCAAATACTACATTTTGTTTATTTGTTAGGGTTTCGTAATATAAATATTTGTGATTTCTATAAGGTTTTTTATATCAAATAAAATGTAAAAATTGTACCTATTTTTAATTTTTTTCAATAATTTTGCTTTAAATAACTCTAATAAATGGTTCACATTTATGAAAATCTGTAATCAAAATAGTAGATTTTCTACTGCATACTGTTGGTCGCACTGCGGATTAGTTACACCTAAGCAAACAGAAAGCAATCGGAACCCTTTCGATTCCGTAGATTAGCCACATGATAGTTCCTATCAAACTGGGTCGCTGTCAGATTATTCCAGTGCCATATGACTGCACTACAAAATATATATATGAGGAAATGACGCTGGCTTAGGTCAGGGATTGGTTTATATAGCGATAAGTCGAAGGCCTTATCCCGATGACGACGAATCCAAAGCACTAGCATAAAACAAAGAACAGTGCGGCTAACTTGCTGTTTGTTTAAGCCAAACGCAAACAACTAGCAGACGCTCATTAGCAGCAGCACACGCCTTAGATAAGGACCACACCGGGTCCGGAGATAACTTCCCATAGAACTGAGAGTCCAGAATCCAGAACACAGATAAAATGCCGCAGGCCAAGTTCAAAGAGGCGGCGAATCATGTGTCGTCACATCATCAAACAAAATGAGGAGCAAATTAGAGGGAGCGACTACGGGGACTACCGCCCGGAAAATCTCCCAGGGAAGGGAAAGAAAGGGAAGGGGTGCCTACTTTCATTTCCATTTTCCACTTGCGTCATCGAAATTTGTAGCAGCTTATCAAGCTGGCTGGCTGATAAAAAGATGAGCTCCGGAAAATTCTCGGCTCTCCGGTTGCCGGAGTCGGTGTTTCAGTGTTTCTGTGTGTGACTCACTTTTGCCGCAGACTCGAACGTGACCTGGCACTTTAGTGACACTCGCATAATCGGAGTGGAGTGTTTTTCCTTGGTCCAGCGCCTTTATCAGTTTTACGACTTCCTTTCCAGTCAAAGTCTGGCCAGATAAATAGTGCGGCGAGCAGGGAGGAAGGAGGGCTTCTTCGGACCACCGGCTAGCTGCAATTAGTTTTATTTTCCCGATTCCGATTCGTGGACTTGGACTTGTGGCTCGCTTTAGTATCTTTATCTTAGCTAATTGATATTTATGGCCCGAACACGTTCTTCCACTTCGCCTCATTCTATCGCTTGCGTTTGCTCAGGTGAAAATGTGGAAATACTCTCTTGGTGCGTTTTCGATTTTCCTTTCCCATCTTATTGGCAACGGGGAATTATGGGCGGTAGGTTGGGATGGTTATACTTTATTGGGGCATGCGGGAACGATTCTTGGTAAGCGGTGACTCAGACATTAACTCAAGATCCGTGGGGTCAACGATGGAGTCACGTTTTGGTTTTACACAGAAACAAGATTAGAGTCGTGAACAGTCGAGGACCCTGTGGAATGGCTGGGAAACGGCTGTGGAAAGGTGAGTTCCCCGGCTTGAGTCATCAATCACACTGCTCCAAATGCTCTACAAAAAAAAATGCACTTTCAGGAAGCCCAAAGGATACTCCATTCGGCCAGCTGTCCCGCCAACGAAGTTATAGGCTATCATATTTCCGTCTGGCATATTTATCCTAAAAACAACCGTGAGGAAGCACATTTTTTCCAATAAACACTTCACAGGCTTCCCCAAAAAATGTATCGAAAATTAACAATACTTGTAGCCCCTTGATTTATGAATGAGTTCCTCTAGTTGTTTGTCTTCTTATGGCAGGATATTCTTTTTAGAGCATGATGTTTGAGTTTTTCTGGGGTAGGCAGGATATTATGAATGCATTTAGAGTGACTACTTAAAAGTAAATAAATAATGTAGGAAATTGCTGCTGTGTTTACTCAGGAAACCTTGTTGAATAGGGAATGAGTTGCCGAATTAAATATAAAAGTGCGGATTGAAAGGTTCACCCAGATGGAGCAAAACAATATCAGAAAAATATACTTTTAATGACTGGATATTTTAAGAACATTTTTTTCATATTCATATTATTTCATTATTAATTTAAGATTGTTAAGAGTGTGGAAATGTTTTATTTAGGACCAATTTTACAAAGCAAATATAATTAAGTAAAGGTAAATATGAAAGGTACTTTTTGGTGTACTCCAGATGTCTTCAGAATTTCCATACACTTTCCCAGAGCAGCAGGAACGGCAGCCAACTCGACTTGACTTGAAGTTCATTCTTAATTTATGACACTTTCAATTAGGAACTCCTCCTAAAAGGCTAACAGCAGGTCGGATTCCAGGGAAACCTCTGCGACTGGCAACGCAGTGTGTGCGATGGGATTCCTGGAATAAATTGAAAACCATAATTATGCTCACGCTTACAGGCTTCGCCTTCGAGCGACTGTCAATTGCAAAAACAAACAGGAGATGGCAAAAAGAGCATTGAGCTGACAAAGGCCGAGGCCATGGACTCAGATTCGGATTCAGGGAAGGAGTAGTGGGAGATACTTGCAGATACTGGAAGATAGATTGACAATAACGAGGCATAGGCAAAGGCAAAGCCTACCTGCAGCGCCTCGCAAGTGCTTTGTCCTTGGCCCAGGCAAAAGATAGAGATACCGAACAGACATTGTCAATGTCGCATGTCTGGTGCTGACAAATCGCCAGGAAAAGGGGATTTATGAATAGGCCGAGTGCCGAAGAAGCAGGATGAGGTTTTGGCCCCTGATCGCTTCATTATTGGGCAGAACATGTCAATTTGGCCCGAACTTCCTCCTACAAAAACTGCTCAGTTCCAGCTGCGACTTTGTCTCATTCATAAATTGCCGCACAAATCTATCAAAATCCCCCAAGTTGATTAGGCTGTCGGATAAATCAATTTGTCGCCGGGCATAAAATATTTTTATTATTTCACAAAAGTCCGGCTTAGGCTGAAAATTTTATGTCGTAATTTAGATTGATGGCCTCGAGATACGGGACAAAACGGAAAGTGTCTTTCGTATAATTGCGAAAGCAAAAGTAAATGGCGTTCCGGAGTCCTTCGAGATGCCAGGAGGAGGTTTGAAGGCCCCTAAGCTAATTTTACGACTAGTTCGTGACTGGAAACTATGGGGAGTGCGATAGAGGAAGGCCAGGACTCACCTGTTACCTGCATCTCAAATTCAGAATTCACAACTCGCGACCGCCACGCGTTCCACTTCAAAATGTGCTCGCAGCGATGGCAAATAAAATAAAATT